CTGGGACAGCTCAGTGCTCCAGCTCCTGGTTTGGTGGCCCAGCATGAGTTACCCCACAGGGTTTTAATGGAAAAACAACCACATGGAGATACTATCCCTTCCAGCCTCAACCTAGGGTGCTTCTCTTCCACTGGCAAGTCATCTAATTAAAAAAAAATAAAAAATCCTGAATTGCTGCTTGCTCAATGCTCTGAACAACTTCTGATTTTCCCAGGTGGAATATTCTCTGCTGGGTTACTCTGCTCATGGATGCAGCACTGCTGTCAAGAGGATTTGGACAGAACGAGGAGCCCAGCTGGCCCCAGGATCAATGATCCCTTCACCTTCTGCTCCAAAGGAATGGGTGAACTCCAGGAGCTGCCACCTGAGCTCCACACAAATGGGATGGGGAAAAACCCCCTGCCTTCCATAAATCCACTGGCTCCAGTGGGTTTAGCACCACCCCAAAAAGACATCTTTGTATAAAAGGAAGGAGCACACCTGTGCTGTGAAAGGGACAGCACTGAGAGCCCAGGGCACGCTCCCAGAGCTTCCCCACCTTCCCTTCCAGGGATTAATCCATAATTCACCCCACAGCTGGAGAAGCTGCCTTTGATGCCAGCCCCAGGCAGGGCAGGTTCTGCTCTGAGGCTCTCCCATGGGAACTCCAACATCCATGGCCATCCACAGCCAAGTGGGAAAAGCCTCCACAGCGAGCAATGAATTCCTCTCTGAGGCACACTGGAAAATAGATGCACTTTATTTCCCCTTGGCAAAGTGAAACTATGGAGGAAAGCTGTTTAATATAAAAACATCTGACAAAGCACCTCCAGGATGTATTTTTTTGCATCAAAGAAGTAGCTCTTGGCAACAGACTCATTCCTCCGACCAGGAGAGGTTTTAGCCAAACCCTGATTGTTCTAGACTGCGCAGGGGAAGACAAGCCAGCAAACCTACAGTTAAATATGAAAGAAAAAAAGAAACCAAAACCATTACTGGCCCAAACAAACATCTGTCTGTGATTAAACTGGATGCACAGCTATGTTGTGTCTTTTTTAAAGGCCTTGTTTCTGCAGGGAGGGAGGGGAGAAGGGATGAAAAGGCTCCAGGGTGAGTCAGACCCAGCCCCCAGCCCAGAGCTGTCACTGAGACACAGCAAAGAGCCTATCCTCAAAACCCAACATTTCCCCCCAGAAGAAAATGCTGTCCCTATTACTGACAAAAATACCCTTTTTTTTTTCTATTAACAGGTAATTCCAGAACCTCTCCCCCAGCCTGGAAAGGGCAATGTTTGCCCAGTTGCCACACACATCCGCCCGACAGATTTAATGAGCTTTTTTTTTTTCCCTTCTCCTAACACACAGGATCTTCATAAATTTCCTTGTTAGCATAAATCTTGCAGCCTGTTATTTCTGGGGGGGGAGAGGAAGGGAGACGTTCACTTTCTCCATTCAGTGGGTTTTAAAATATGCTTCCTTAAGTTCATCCTAAATATTGCTGGAGGCAGAAAAAACCCTCTGGCTCTCGCCTGGAGCTGTGGCATCACCTCAGCAGGGCTGAGTCACCAGCTGGGATGGATGCTCCTGCCTTCTTCCTCCCTTTGGTGGTACAGGGACCCTGCTCCCCAAATCCAATGCCCCCAGCCCCACCACTGCCCTGCAAAAACTTCCCCATCTTAAAAAATAAAAAAAAAATCAGAAATTATTTAAATTATCTCCTACCCATTCAGTATCTTTTTTTTCTCTGTTAATTCTCAGCTTTCCCCCACCATCATCAGTCACCAAGCACAGCTCATCTCCACACGGAGCTCAGCACCTTCTGGACATCAGCAGAGCTGCTGGAATAAACTGATGCCTGTGCTTCCACTTCCAGGTGGAAAACACCTTCCTGCTGCTTTGGAGCATGGACAGGAATTCATCCCTCCTCAAACAAACCACCAGTTCAACATTTCTTCTTTAGGATGCACATTTTCACCTACACATGCGTTCAGAGCTAAAACTCTTGGAGAGTTTTAGCACATGGGAAGTGATTTCAAAGTTGTAAAAACCCCAAAACAACTATTTTTGGAAAAAAACAAACCAGCATCTTCCCTGGGGACAGCACAGAGACCTAGAGATGCAAGGCCACCTTTAACTCTCCTACCTGGCCTCCCCTCAGAATTTAAATGCATTAACAAGAACTTTGGCCAACGCTCATCATGGGGCTTTTTCAACAGAAAAGGTCCTTCCCAGGGCCCTGTGGGATTCAGAGGAAGGCAGGCAATCCCAAAGCCAGGACAGCTGCTCCATCCTATCCCATCCCATCCCACCCCATCCCCTGCAGAGGCTCAGCCCTCCACACGCCTGGCAAGTCTAACGGGTACAGCAGCTTCTTGCCATGTGCTGGAGGAGCCAAGTCTGAGGGGAAGGGAAAAAAAAAAAAAATTACTACAAATGTTCCACCAATTATGAATCACGAGGCTGAGCTTTTGTTCCTGCCTTGCTGGATTTTGCCCTTTCCCTGGTATTTCCCCAGCTCCGGCGGGGGACGCCGGGACTGGCCAAGGCTCTGCTGGCTCCCGAGGGACAGACAGGCTCAGCCCAGGCCAGGGAACCACCTGGGTTTAAAATACAACCCCCAAACAGCAGGTTTTCCTCAGCTCTGCCCCCTAGGCAGAAATGAACCTAAGGAGGAAAAGATGGAGCCTCTCTCTGTGCTGGACGTGGCACTGCCTGAGCTCAGGAGGAGGGAGCTGTGGGGTCAGACATCTCCAAGTGCCTCTTCCCACCAACCCAGATCTCCCCAGGCCAAAACAGCAGCATCCCCATTCCAAGGGAAAAGCTGTGGCTGGACACTGATCCTTGGACATACAACTTTGTTCCAAGACCCAAATGCTCTGAACACGAGATGAAGAAGGCTCTGGGGTATCATCCAGGGATCCAGGTCACATCCAACCAACCCCCACAATTTGTGCTCCCATTTAGCCCTGACTGTTCCTCTGAACTTTACAGTGAGCCTGGTATTGCACTGAAGACTTTCCCTCTTTTTAAGGGCAATATTATAGCCATGGAAGGTTCTACTTTAAAAAAAAAAACCAAAAAAAAGCCCTCTTTTTGATTAACACATATGACAGAGATCATCTTCTGCCTTCACGCTAAAACCTCTTGTTTAGAAGTTCATCAAGTAAAGGAGAAACAGGAGAAGAATGGTTCTCTTTGTTACACGAAATTGAATTTTGTGGTTTTAGTAGGAAAAGCCTTTTTGATGATCAAAGCTGGACCAATAAATAGCAGTGGCTTGATGCTAGATCCAAAATGTACTTATTTTTGGAAGACAAGTTAAATGCACACTGAGTACACAAGAGGAGGCAGGGAGGACCACGTGCTTTGTGTATCACTCCTACAGACCTACACTTCAAGCAGAACTATTAAATGGGTTGAAATGGAGAATAAACAAACTGAAATGTGGCAGGTAGACTGGAGCCTAAGTGGGTTTTTCCCTTGTACTTCCCTGTGATGACATGTATGGGTTAACTTCAGCAGGGCTCTTATCCTCTTTCAGCAATCGTGAGCACTGGGGAAAAATAAATCACCCAGCCCCAGGCTCTTATTAAAAGTTACACCATTGGAAACGGCACAGGGGGAGAGGAGGGATCTGGTTTCAGCACAATCTCGGTCACATGTTATCATTATATTGTTCAAGGAAAAGTTAAAATCTCCCTTCTCTTCCAGCAAACCCACCAGATGTCCCATAAAGCCTGAGCCATGAGGGAAGCTAAACCATTACAACCTCAGGATCCCCAACTTGGCTGCTGTAATCAATGCCAATTATCAAGTTACAACAAAAGCCACTGGCACGGGGAGCTTTAGGGATGTGCATATCCAGCCCTAGGAATGTTAGGAATTGCAAGCACATATTTATCAGAGCACAAAGCTGAATTATCCCAGTCCTGCTATCAATTGTTCCCCTGCTCTGGACACTTGGCAGCACAACAAAAGCCCTTGGGACACCACAGGGACACCTGAAGGGACAAGGAGAAGGGAAAATCCCCGGAGGGAAATGTGCCACCTTGCCATGATACAGACCCTGAGCTGTTTAACACCCTTTGGAGCTGGGATCAGCCTAAACAGCCCAGGAATGCCCGAGTTCCACCAAATTTCTTGCCAACCTGACCATGAACTCTTGCAAGGAAAGAAAACGAAGAGAAACGCCACAACCAAGGGACCAGTACCCCAAAGGTCCTCTCCACCACCCCCTTGGACTCACAGCATCCCCCAGGTGAGCAGCAGATCCCCTCACCTGCTCAGCAATCCAGCAAGGAGGCTCAGAGGTGTCCAAGCCCCACCCCAGCCAAAACCCACGTTTGTCTGCCTTCATCCCAGCTCTCAGACCATGAAGCAAAGAAGTTAAACCTGGTCCTACAGGCAGCCCCTCCTGAGACACCGAGGGGAGAGATGTGGGATGATTGATGCAGCCAGAGCCAGCACTGAGCCAAGGACTGCCCCAGCTCTACCTGCTGTCAGGTAAAACCACCCCAGGCCCTGCAGAGCCCCATTAAGTGAATGAAAGGTTGCAGGGTGGGGCAGAGCAAAAAACCAGGACCTAATTAAGCCAAGCTTTGTTCGGGATCTTCAATGGCTCCATAGCTGGGAGCCTGCTCATGAAAGCAGGGATTGCAGCCCGGGGCCAGGGCCCAACAGGTAACACCAGCCCGGCAGGAACCAGCCCAAAGCAGCAGCTCTGGAGCTGCCTCGCTGGCCTGCCATGGAGATGGGGGGCTCACAGCCCAGCCCCACAGCCTGGACCGGCCCTGGTGGCCTCCACACGGACATCCCCAAACATCCCTGCTCATCCCACGAACAGCATCTCACCACAACATGCAGATTCTATGGAAAACCACCTCAAATAACTGCTCTTTTTGTCCTTCTCTTCACACCCACAGCACAAACCAAGAGCAGGACCAGGACCCCCGTCCCCTCCTGCTGTCCTGCCCCACCACCAGCCCCCCATGGCGGGGAGGAAAGGCACCAAGAGCTGCCAACCTGAGAAATCTCCGGGCGTGACGTTGGGAGAGTTTGTAGCCTCTGTTTCAGTGTAAGACAACGTGGAATCTGATAGATCTGGGGAAAAAAAAAAAAACAGAAAAAAAAGCACTTTTAGTCCTGCTGTGTTTGCCAGTGCTACGTGAGCGCTCCTGGCTGCTGGGCTTCCCACCACCTCCCCGAGAGAAACTCTCCACAGAGCCAGAAAGCAGCGATTAACTTTGCAGCTCCACCACGCAAATGCAAAGTTTGAATTGCCTCGACCACAAAAATAACTCCAGTTAAGTTGATCAAACAAGTAGGAACTTGGTGCTTACTGGATAAAGTTACATTAAGCCTCTAAACAAGTCAGAGTTACTATACTTAATTATCACCATTAAAATTCTTGAAGCTGTTTATTCTTGCTTCCTTCCTTCCTCTTTGCTGAAGCGAAGGAAACTTTGTTTTAACAAGTTAAGAGTCTTTGTTATTCTCTCTTGCTTACACCCCTCTAATTAAGCGCTCAACTGTTTGCTCACAGATTAACTATTATTTTTCCAATCAAACAAGCCAGTGAAGCAAATTTCAACCCCTGGCTGTTGTTTTAATAAAGTCACGTGTCGCTCACTATCATCTCTCCCTGCAGCACAAGCAGTTTCTAAAAGGAATTAACTTGGAAGGGGGAGCGCAGGGAGGGACAACTCCTTTTTTTTTTTGCCTCCACACCTAACAAAATAAAAAAAAGGGGAAAAAAAAGCCACCAGCTGCCAACTTGGCCTTGCAGGCCACTCTGGTCACAGCCTGTGGCGATGAAGGCGCCGGGCACGGGGTGCACACATGGCTGAGCTGCTCCCAGGCCTGGCAGGGCAGAGCCTCACCTTTGGCAGGGGCAGCTCCTGCCTTCCCCCGGGGCTGGGTGGGACAGGCAGGCACTGCTGTCCCCTCCTACCCCTGCCAAACCCCATTTGTCTCCTCCCTGTCCCTGCCCCAAGGCAGCAAAAGCAGCTCCCCCTGGTCACTAACCCCAGTAAATCACTGACCAGGGGATAAAGGGAGAAAGGCCCCAGCTGCACCCATCCCAGCAAGAAATCCAAGAGGAATGTGGGATTCCTCCCTTCCCATTTAATTGCACAAGAAGCAGGGCTGAGAAAGGATGGTGAGGATGCAGCGATTCCAGCTCAAAACATCTCCAGGACCAGGACCCAGCATCCTGCACTCCACACCCAGCCTAGCCACCCCAAAGCTGCTCTCACCAACTCTGTTTGGAAAACCTTCTAGAATTCCCCAGGAAAAGTGACACCCCGTTCAAAAATGACCCAGTGCTAAGTTTCAAAGGCTTTCCATCTCTTTGCAAGGAGCAGAGGCAGGGTAATAGCTGGTTCCTGCATGGAGCAGCACAGCCAGGCCCTTATGGAAATGGCACCCAGGAGCTCCCACTCCCGCAGATTACACACACAGACAAAACATGACGTCTGGTAACCTTTCATTACGCCTTCATTAAAAATAGAGCTTCATATTATTTTGGAAAATATGCATGTGTCTACACGGTAATTTGGTAGGATAAACTGGCATCCATTTACTTCTTAAAACCCGTCAGCTGATGCTTGCTCAGAAATAATGAGCAGCCATAAAACCCCGACTTGTTGGCTTTTGCCCGACGTGCCAGGGAGGGCTGTCTCAGAACCAGCACCGGGGCTACACCATGAAAGAGTTCCCCGAGATCAAAAGAGACAAAACACGTACCCAGTGGCTTTTGCTCATCATTAGGAGACAGCCGAGAGTAGGGAGGTGGTGGAGACTCTGGAAAAAACAAAACTTCAGGTTAGTGCTGTGTTCAGTTTATCAACAAACCCTCTTGCTTTCTCTTTTGGGGTAGGAACTCTTCCAAGATTATAAACACCCAGTGGAAAACAAAACACTTGGAAGCAACTGGGACCAAGGTTTTCCTAATTTTTGGACAACGGGAGTTCCACCTTGAACTTTCAAAGTGGGCTTTGCTACTGAAAATGCTGCACCCCTCTGCCCCGTATCTGTGCCTGGGGAGATTGAGTCATACAAAACATCAAATTGCTCCCCAAGAACACATTTCCATCATCTGGGTTGGGAGACAACCTTCCACGGGTGGAAGCACTTAACAAGTGCTCCCCAAACACTTCCCAAGCACTGAAAAGAAGGACTGGGTGATGAGAAGATTCCTCTTGGCACACAGGGCTGGCAGCAGAGGCAGGCTGCCTTCACCCACCAATCCATCCAAGTGACTTTGGTGCATCCCAAAAGGCCTTGGCACAAAAGTGGCTCAGGAGCAGAGGCCACTGTGGTCCCTCTCGCCCCGAATCCATCCCACAAAGCTCCCCAACTCAGCTTTAAGCAGCAGCACAGAGCTGCTGTGCTCCAAGTTCAGCAAGTCCTCAGAGGTGCTTTGCTGGGCCAGGTCATTCAACCAGCTCCCGCTGCTCTTGGAAGAGTCAAGACCATGGGCAAGGCCAATGAAGGTCCTTCATCAACTGCAGGCCCTGATTACAGGGGTTTCTTTTCCCCTTCCATAGCATGACAGTGATGCTTCTTAAATTGTAACTTGCCAAAACTGAGTGTGCAGCCAGCTGGGCTCTATCAGCATTGAGCAGGCATCGATTTCAGGGAGAAATTGCTTTGTTAAGTCCCATCAGTGACACCACAGAGCAGGGAAACAGGGGAGTGCTCCTCAGCCCCCACCCCGACCTGAGAGCACTCAGCCAGCAACTGCATCAGCCAGCTGGGCTCCCCAAAAACCACCTCAGCATCCCCTGTGCGATGGCTCTGGGGTCACCTACTGCTCCTCAGAAAAGCTTCCCCACTTTGCCTACGGGAGCGGGGTGCTCTTCTCACAGGGTGCTTACAAACCCCAAAATACAAAAAACTAAAGGTGCTGATGTCCCCATGTGTAGCTAACAGCCAGACCTGGCTGTGCTGTCCCACTCCAGACCTGCTGCCACCAGGAACTCTTGGGAGCACCCCAGAACTTTCACACCCCACAGCAAACTGGGTGGGAAACGCCAAGAGGATGATCCCTGTGGGGAGCCACTCGTGGAAAAAGGGCACCGAGGGCTTCTCCTGCTCCTGTCAGCAGCGCCCAGCCGGCGCGGGTGGGTCCTGGCACAGTCACCCCTTATCAAAGTGATAAGGAGCCACTTGATAACAGCTCTGCTCACTACTACTCCCAGCACAGGGCTGGCAGCCGCTCACCGCTGGGAAAACCACCACGGCTGCAGCAAAGAGACTGGGAAACCTCTCCCGTTTCTAAAAGAAATGCCCCGTTCCTAAAAACGCAGCTCAACTCCAGCTGGAGTAAAAAAAGCTGCCTCCAGCCTCTAGCGACCTTCGGGAGAAGCACGCCCAGAAGAGAAGTTTCTTTGAAAGAAGTGATGCAAAGCGAGGCAGGAGCCCAGATTGCAAAAAAAAAAAAAATTATAAAATCAAAGTTCTTGCCAAAAATAGGGGACAGTCAGCATAGAATCATAGGATGGTCTGGGCTGGAAGGGACATTAAAAATCATCCCGTTTCACCCCCTGCCATAGCAGGGACATCTGCCACCATCCCAGGCTGCCCTAAGCCCCGTCCAGCCTGGCCTTGGACACTTCCAGGGATGCAGGGGCACCCACAGCTTCTCTGGGCACCTGTGCCAGGGCCTCAGCACCCTCACAGGGAAGAATTTCTTCCCAATATCCCATCTAACCCTGCCCTCTGGCAGGGGGAATCCAGCTGTCCGTTTTTTCATTATACAGCCTATCAAATATTATATCCATTTCTGCACCTCCGACTCCAACGTGTCTCTGCTCCGTGTAACCATTCCCTGCTGACACGGACACGAACGATCGAGTATCGCTGAAAAAAACCCAAAAAACCCTCAACAAGCCCAAACCCACGCCTTGAAAACGCTCACCTCTGCACACGGTTAAAAAAAATATAGAAAAAAAAAGGAAAAAAGGAAAAAAAGAAAAAAAAAAAAGAAGAAACCCCGAGAATTGCAGGAGCCCCAGATGTCCCCGCGGGTCCGGGGATCCCCGCGGCGGGGACATCCCGCAGCCCCCCCGAAGCGCCTGCGGCTTTAAGCGGGCGGCGGTGACCGCCCGGCTCCGATAGGAGCGAGCCAGGCTGGCGCCAGCGGGATGGAGCCGCCGATTATCGCCCGTCCGGCTCCCGGCGAGCGGGGAAACTCCGCGGGAAGGGGAAAAAGCCAATAAAGAGAAAGGGCTTCTTACGCACAACTGGCTCCAGGAGAGGGGGGATGCCCGGCGGGGGGACCCCGGAGCGGGCGCGTCCCCCCGGGCATCCCCGCCACACCGCAGCGCTGCCCACCGGGGTTCGGATAAACCCAACAAGGGCTCAGAAAGGCCGAACCCCCACATGGGTGCGTGTTTGTGGCGGGGGTGGTGGGGGGAACCCAGCTCGCCGCCGCTCACCTGGCCCACAGAGGCGGCTGAAGTGGTAGGGGTTGCAGCAGACCGTGGGTCCGTCGGCGACGCCGAAGCTCTGGCACTCGCAGAGGGGCTTCAGCTCGGCGGGGTGCTGCAGGTCGGGCCAGCGGAACAGTTTGCCCAGGAGGAGGTGCGGGGGCGCCGCCAGGCCCCCCAGGCGCACCTCGGTGCGGGCCACCAGCACGCAGCCGCCGGGCATCCCCCCGCGGGACTCCACCGCCTCCAGCAGGCTGTCCAGCGAGCGCTCCTTCAGCCGCTTCAGCAGCGAGTAGGTGACGGCCTTCAGCTCCTGCTCCAGCACCAGCAGCCGCGCCCGCGCCTCCCGGCCCCGCCGCTCCGGGGAGCCGCCGTCGGCCGCGCCGTCGGGGCCGGGGAGGGCGGCGGGGAGAGGTTGGGGGCCGCCCGGCTCCCGCTCCGAGAAGAGGCAGCAGGTCACGGTCCGGCCGTCGCTCTCCGGCGCGGAGCCGGGGCCGCGGAGCCGGGCCCCGCGCCGCTCCGCCATGGGGTCCCCGCGCGGCGCCGCCTCGCCCGCCGCCCCGCGCCGCTCCTCCGCCTCCCGCAGCAGCAGGCTGCGCGCTACCGCGCGGAGCTCCGCCGAGGGGCTTTTCTCCGCGATCTTGCAGCTGCCGGTGGCTCCGAGGTCGTGGCCGCTCCTGGCGCTCCCATCTCCGCCGTCCCTGTCCGGAATGACGCGGCTCCTCCAAAGTCGCCGCACCAGCCCTGAGCGTTTGGACCTGAACATACGACCCGCGGGCGGCCGGGGGTCGCGTCGCTCTCCGCCGCCCCCCGCCCTCCTCCGCGGGGCTCCTCGCTCCGCCGCCGGCTCTATCTCATCGCAGCCCCGGAGCAGCCCGGACTCCCCGCGGCGCTGCTGCCCAGCGGATCTCCGACGGCCCGCGGCGGGGCCGCACCATGGGGGGGGCGGCGGGGCGGCGCGGGCATAGACGGCGCCGCGGGGGCCGCTCCCGTGGCGGCGCTGGGGCTCGGGCGCGCCGCGCCGTGCCCTACATCGGCTGCCAACGCAGGGCCGGGCGGGGAGCGGCGGGGGCGAGGGCCGGGGGGAGCCCGGGGCAGCGCTCGGCTGCGCCCCGCGGCCGCTCCACCATACAAGGTGGGGAGGAGCGGGGGAAGCGCGCCCGGCGCGGGGGTGCCGCCCGGCGGGGAACCGGCGCCGGGGGCCGCTCGGAGGCGTCGGATCCCTTCGGCCAAAAATAGTATTTAAAAAAAAAAAAGTAAAAAAAAAATAAAAAGAAAATTAAATCAGAAAGGCGAAGAAGCAGCAGAAGCAGAGCCCGCAGCGCAGGCCGGCTGTCAGCGCGTCCCTTGTCCGCATCGCAGGGCGCGGCCCCGGTCCGGCGGGTCCGTGCGCGGCTCCCGGGGCCGCCGCCGCCGCCCGCTCGCGCCCGCCCGCCCCTCGCCGGCTTTTGTGTGGCCGGGGCGCGCGCGCGGGGCCCCTCGCGAGCGGCGCCGCCATTGGCTGCCGCCCATCATGTGCCAGTCTAGACACTCCGGCGGCTCCGCGCGGCACCGGCCCTTGCGCAAACACCGGCTCGGGTTTCCCACCCGCTTAAAGCGCCCCGCGCCCTCCCCGCCGCTGCGGCCCCGCGCTGGCGGCGGGGCGGGATGAGGGGGGGGTTGGCCCCGGGGGAGCGGCGGCGCGGGGCGGGGCGGGGGGGCAGTGGAAGTAGGTCACGGCAGCGCGGGGGTTAACGCGCCCCCCCCCCCCCCGCGGGCCGCGCGCCGGACACGCCCCCGCGATGTATCAACTTGTCCGCCGTGGCAAAAGTTCAGGCCCGGCGCGCTCCCATTGGTCCGCGGCCGCGTGACGCGAGGCAACGCCGCCTCCTATTGGTCAGCGCGCAGCGAGGGCTCCGCCCACCGGTCCCAGCCCGGCGTGGCCGTGAATGAACGGCGGGGCCGGGAATGGGAATGGGAACGGGAATGGGAACGGGAATGGGAATGGGAATGGGAACAGCGGGGACAGAGGGGACAGCGGGATACAGACACACCCGGGGCCACCCGCACAGCCGGGGAAGCCGCGGCCTCGTGTCCCGCCCCGCTGCGCCCGCGGGGAGCGGCGCCCATCCCAAATCACCCTCCCCCGAATTCGGAATAAATAAATAAATTCCTATAAAACAGCCATTCGCAGCAGGGAAGTGAATGGCGAGGTTGGGAGCGGCGGTTTTGCCCATCCTGGTTTCATCCCCACCCTGGATGGATCGAAATTCGGGGCCAACCTGAAGGCTTGGCTAATGAGCGAATATTAATCTGGGCAATTAATCCCCCAGTAGTTTATCAGTTAAGGGAAAAACACCCAAAACCAAACCAATGAAATGATTTCTACCAACAGATCCTGGGCAACCTGAATGTTTGTAGTTTTTCTCTTGGAATCTTTTGGGTGGCTTTTTCCATACCTGATGGTCAGATTTCTGTCCACATTTCCCCAAACCTGCCCGAATCCACCCAAGAACATCATTTAAATCTACTGGATGAAGACTACAATTTTTTTTTACAGCAAACTTAATCAGTGCATCATCTAATACTCCATTTAAAATCCATAGGTGCATACCACCAACGTTTGCACCAATATAAACACAGAATGTAAATAGATCTTTTGATTTTGGGGTCACTTCTCTTTCAGACCTGTAGGCCCAGGGGCAAAGCTCCTTTTCCCCTGCCATTTTGGGGAGGGGTTTAGGAAATGTGCAGCTTGCCTGGTTAAAAATATAAAACCTCCTCCAAAACCTGTGAGGGACTGGCTGCCCCTGGCACTGCAGCCACATTTCACCACGGTTTGGGCTGAACTCTCCCAACACCCAACTGTGGGAGGGAAATGCTTTTTTTTCACAGTGCACAGTGGATAAGCATAAAATGTGTAAAAAAAAAAAAATCAGCTTTAGACATGGAAGTAAAAACTGGGATTTCCTGGAACTCGTGGAATCATGCAATGGTTTGGGTTGGAAGGGACCTTAAAGCCCATTTGGTTTCACTCCTCACCATGGGCAGGGCCACTTTCCTCTGTTCCAGGTTGCTCCAAGTGTCCAGCCTGGTTTTGGCCACTTCCAGGGATGGATTTCCAACCTTGGTGGGATCCCTGCCCAACCTGAGGCTGCTCCAGAGAAGTCCCAAGCCTTGTTTAAAATCCACAAGATCACCCTGCCCTGTGTGACCCCTGGAATCACCTCCCTAAACGCAGCTGATGCTTTTCTTCCCACCACTGTCTTTCCAAGCTGTCACCCAAATTACAATCCATCCCAAATGTGCAATTACCAGCATTTAAATATATATAAATCTTAACTATAGCACTGCTGGAGCTAAGAATAGGTCATTATTCCAACCAGGAACGTCTCAGCGCTCATCCAACGCTCTGTAATCATGGATTTGCAATATGGCAGGAAGAACAATGGGGCTTTCATGGGATCTGGAGCAGCCCAGCATCTCCACGGGCACAGGTATGCAGGAGCAGCCCCGTTGCATGGAATGCCATCCATCCCAGCCCCTGCAACAACAGCACATTGTTCCTGCTCCTGCCCAACGTGGGCAGCCAGAACAGAGCCCTCGATTGTGCCCGCCACAATGCACCGAGAATTTATAGTAATGTTGGTTATTAAAGGATTGCTGGTGATTAACAGCAATGTCCTCGTTCACTGCCTTTTTTTTTACTCCCCTTTTTTTTTATTTTGCCTGTCATAATAACAAACATTCCTGGGAGATGCTCTGGAACACATCCTATAGGTCTTGGCAGGGAAGTTGGAGAGAAGCTTTGAAAGGCTGCCAGTGTTATCTGACATGGATCTCCCAGGTATGACAGAAAGCCAAATCCTCCTGGGTCCAAGAGGACCGTGGGTGGCCAGGAGGGCACCAACCTCTTCCCAAAGCCAAACTGCAGCTGGGATGGGGGAAAAAGGGGGACAGGGACCAGCCCTGCCATTGCCAGCACCCTCAAAGGCATCAGCAGAGCCCAAACCCTGACTGTGGCACTCCAGGTGTTCAGTAAGGAAAATTAATATCATCATTTTCTGCTTCTTTTTTTATTAATCCCTAGTATTTGATACATTCCTGATCAAAAAGAAGAATGCAGGGGTTAAAACACAAAATGAATAATTGACAAATAATGTAGTAGGAGCTCAACTTGTGGGCTATTTTAATGCCTTGAATAAGGGGGGCAGATGGGGACCCCCAAGGGGTGGGGAGGGCTGGGGGACACGTTGCACCCCCTTTTCCATCCTGGAATGGGGGCTCGGAGTGTCTGAGCCCAACCAGAGAAATCACTCCAAACCTGCTGCGCCAGAGCCAGGGGCTCTGCCAAAAACTAAAATGCCTCATAAAATCCTGCTGGTTTTGCTGGAAGCTGATTTTGAAAGGAACCAGAGAAAAAAGGTTTTGACAACATCAGAAAGTCCCGTTTCCTTTGTTTTCATGACATTGCCATGATTTTCCAGTTCTAATTGATTTTTCATTTTACTCTTGCAAATGTTATACCCTGGGTGGTAACACACTGTGATAGGACCTTGGACCCTCTTCAAAATGGAAAAAGCTAAAATCAGAATGAGGCATTTTGATAAATCCAAAGTATTAAAAAATTAGGTTTGAAGAGTTTTCCTCCATGGAGCATTTCCCAACTGCTGGACTCCACACTCCCAGAGCTCCCAGTGTGTGACAACCCCACGGAGAACCTGGGATATCCTGGCCAGGGAGTGCCCAGGTGGGTGCACAGCCACCCCAGCCCAGAGGCCACTTCTGCTCTGGCACCTTTCCTCCAAGGGGGATCCAAGTTTCCCCATCCATCCATCCATCCATCATCCATCCATCCATCCATCCATCCATCATCCATCCATCCATCCATCATCCATCCATCCATCCATCATCCATCCATCATCCATCCATCCATCCATCCATCCATCCATCATCCATCCATCCATCCATCCATCCATCCATCCATCCATCCATCCATCATCCATCCATCATCCATCCATCCATCCATCCATCCATCATCCATCCATCATCCATCCATCCATCCATCATCCATCCATCCATCCATCCATCCATCATCCATCCATCCATCCATCATCCATCCATCCATCCATCATCCATCCATCATCCATCCATCATCCATCCATCCATCCGTCCATCCATCCATCATCCATCCATCCATCCATCATCCATCCATCCACCATCCATCCATCCATCCATCCATCCATCCATCATCCATCCATTATCCATCCATCCATCCATCCATCCATCCATCCATCCATCCATCCATCATCCATCCATCATCCATCCATCATCCATGCATCATCAATCCATCCATCCATCCATCCATCCATCCATCCATCCATCCATCCATCCATCCATCCATCCATCCATCCATCATCCATCCATCCATCCATCCATCCATCATCCATCCATCTACCATCCATCCCATCCCATCCCATCCCAATCCCACTGTGGCCCCGTGCTGAGGTTGCATCTGCTGCCTGTGAGGGTGAACTGGGGCCAAAACAGCCAAATTGCTTAATTATCCTCCAAATTAAATATCCTCCAAAATTCCTCATCAGCAGGAAGGAGGACAAAGAGGCCAAACCAGCAGAAATGGGCCAGACAGGGCGTTTCACTGGGGATTCATGTGAACGGGTTAATGGGAGTGCACGAGGCAGGAGCTGCTGACTTTCCAGGCTTTTCAAGGCCCTTCCCACGAGTATCTGCTGTGGGTGGGGACAAGCTGACTCACAGTTTCCAGGGCTGGAGTAACATTTCAACACCCGGCGCTCCAGCCTTGGGGACTGATGGCAAAGAGCACATTCCCAGCAGAGTGGCTGGGAAGCTTTTTGACAAAATGTTTTCTTGGGTCAAAAAATGTCACTTGGGCAAAACCAGATTTTTTTTTTTTTTTTGTAGCAAAGTACCAGTTTCCATGAAATGCTGCTTGGAAAGGTTTTCTGGGAGCGAGCCTGGATTTCTAGTCAAACCCACAGAGGTAAAATCATCTCCCCAGAGGTCCTTGGGGTGGGTGTTGGCCTCCATTCCTGGTGGTGCCCATCCCAGGAAAGGTCCCTTGCTTGGAGCAGGGACATGGATTCTTTAAATCCCTTCTAGGTGGAGCTGGGCCAAATTGTAAAAAATAATGAAGCAGTTTCTGAGGGAGAAAGAGTCTGACTTTAGCACTGGGGAGGAGAGCCTTGATGTGAGATAGGGAGTATTGGGTTCAGTTCCCTGGACTGGCTCGTGACAAACAAGGATTGAACCACAAGTCAGGCCAGTGCCACGAGTACAGGATTATCCCCTGTGCTGCTGCTTTCATTTTTAGGAAAACAAACTCACGGCATCCCAGAAAAGCCCTGCTGCAATCCAAGGAAAGCATTGGTGCCTCCAGCTTTGCAGCACAGGAAGAGTGCCTTCATCC